ACAAACGTCAGGGTCGTTGGTTTCGAAACTAATTACCACGAGAGACTTTTCCTTGAAGCCTGGCACTCTACTTTGGATCCGAATGCTGGGAACGATCACATCGTACTTCCAGAAGCCTATAAAGACCTCGCGCGAGCATCAAATACATAGTTACGCGCGCAAGCTTCGCGTCACGTTTTTAACTTTAAATAGCGTATGATAACGATCTTCGTTTTTCATATCACTGATGAAGGCTTAAGCATTAGCCGAAACGTCTGTTTCAGAAATAACAACAGTCAGAGGCAACCAATTTCTATAAAACTCATTACTCCCAATATATTTGTTTGATTACGCGTGATGAAGCGCGGTTTATCATTCACTTGTTGCACTCGCATAGCAACAAAGTCAAACCAAGTCCCTCTATCGATCGACGGCCGAACAAAACTTATAGGGAAAAATACATAATTGAAATAATTAATGTGAACAAGATTATTGTAAAAAGTACGGCCATGATAATAAAAAGATCTTTTGGCAACTTGCTTCCTATGATTACGCGTAGTGTGCAAATGAACCTTGTGTTAAAAGAAAAATGATTCATAAAATACAGAGGAAAATGTCCTTTGATACATTTCTAAGCCAGATATAAAGTGTGTTCAGCACGCCGCACGGTAATGTTAGCCACATAATCGTGTCCATAGCACGCTTACTATTAAGAGTAATTGCCGCGAAAAATCAAACATTCACCGGCTGTAGGTAAAACAAACCAAGACATATGTAGTTTGTTGAAAAATTCTTTTGTTTTCGAGAGAATTGATAAAACTCAATTCACGCATAATTAGCGTCATTCGAAGGTCAAATTTAGCCAATTTTTGGAGACCTCGTTTGTATTTGTAAAAGCAATAAAAAACGTACTTATTCCACAGACTTTTAGAACAATGTCTTCCCTATGTCTTTACAAAAAAGTAGAATCACAGTTTAAATTTGAAATAAAGATTTTACTATCTATTTACTTAAGTGCCGTATGGAAAGTAGGGTAGCTTCAAAAACCTATTTTCATATGTGCTAAGAGAAGCAGACGTTTAATATTAAAAACATAAGAAGTAGCAATGATAAACTTACTGTTTGTAGAGTTGTTTTTCTGTGGTTTTTGTGCTGCTTTGTCTACGAGTGTGAATGAGAGGTTTTGTGTTGAGATAAAATTTCACATATTTTTTGGACTTTTTACTACTTCTAGGCAATTAGCAATAAAAGGTAAGGTCACAGTTAATTTCATCTGATAAAACTTAGTGCACAAGTAGAAAACAACTGAGTTTAAATATTTTGAAGAACGGAGATTTGTTATTCATTTGAGTCCCTTGTTGTGGATGATTATGGCTACAATCCAAAAGACAGAAAAGAGGATAGGCAAATAGTACCTTTGCTGTCGTGTGACAAGGAAATAACAGGGCATTTGGCTCATTTTTCACTCACTATTGTGTCCACCGAGTATGACTTGATATTAAGTACAGCAGCTGTTTTCCAACGACCCAACGGTTTTGACACATGGACAATATGCCCACTTCATCGCTCAAGACTTTGTCTTGGATGAACTAGAGAGGGATATACTAAATGCAGAGTGCTAGCAAACATTTCCTGGCATAATGCGAAGAAGCTACCCAAAGCAGACAGAGGATAAGGGAAAGAGGTTTCTCATTTCATTTTCCACGAAACAGGGCATCTTATTCCGGTTGGTTCAAGTAATTATTCTATTTGCTTGCGATCTAGTTTATTTCCTATTTCATTATCGTTGTACTTCTTGATGGCATGCGCACCGAAAATCAATTTTGAGTGTTTTTCAACAGTTAACAATTGCGTCAATTTAGTGGACACATTCGCCTATCCCCTTTTCTGTCTTTTGGATTGTAGCCACAATCATCCACAACAAGAGATTCACATGGACAAAAAATTTTCCATTCTTCAAACCATTTAAACTCAGTTGTTTACTGGTGGCGCACTAACTTTTATCAGATAAAATTAACTTTGACGTTACGTTTTATTGCTAATTGCTTAGAAGTGGTGAGAAGTCCAAAAAATATATGAATTTTTATCTCAACACAAAACCTCTCATTCGTAGGTTTTGGATTTCATATAAAAAGTTCCATGCAACTTTTCTATTCAAGAAATTTGAAACCATTTGCAGAATGGGAATATAAATCTAACAATTGCGTGGCACAAACGTCACGCAGTAACAACCATGTCCACTCATTTCTACAAAATGAATGCTTTCGGAGAAAACAAAAACAACTTCTATCTTATTGCAAGTACTTTGAAGACGTTATTTATAGTATTCAAGCAATCATTATTACCACTGAAGCTCAAGTATAGAGTAATTACTGCTTACCAATAATATTCAAGCGAATATGACGACTCCAAGATCCTTTGTTAGTACCCAACTCACACTCAAATGCTCCATTACTTGCATCATATGAGGCGGTCACATTGAAGATTACCAAAGTGAGCCGTTGGGAAATCCAAGTTAAATTGAACCTGTCCTTGAAAGCATCGTCCACATTTGCACCTGATCCTCCTGGTCCACCAAGTCCAAGGGTAACAGTGTCGAACCTTACAGTCCCCAAAAAAAGAGTCAATGACGTCAAACTGAAGTTCCAGCTTAAAGACGCAGGATATCCTTCAAAAACCTTCATCTTTGCCGGAGGCAGGTCAGTGGTTGAACTCGATACTGTCTCAACCGGTAGAGGTTCATACCATGTGACACTTTGACCGCCTGAAATCGAAGATTATTCACACTGACATAGAGTATTGCTTGAATATCTGGATAGTTACTACAAACTTACCACCTTCGTCCGTCAGCTCCCAGACGACAGTTAAGATTAACCAATTCCAAGCTTGAACAATGGTGTGCACCCATGCGTTATAGTTAATTTACTTTTTAGGCGTTCCTCCAGCGCGCTTCGCACTTGCCTCTGTTCGCATGAAAAGCGTGAATAAATTACTTGTTCTGCAGGCTACCTGAATGAAGTCTACCAAATCATGTTCCTCGTTACTGCGTTTCAAATTTGGAAACATTTTCATTGAAAATTTTGTTGCTTTAGTAGTCCCTGTCGCTGCTTTTTTCAATTACATTAACAAACAAAGACTTTCTCCTTTCTATCAGCAATGCATCGTATGTAAATTTAAAGCTTCATATAGCTAATTTTATTTACAACTCTTTGGTTAAACTTCCTAATTAAAGCTAATTATTCCATAGAGGTAAAAACAACACTGAAAGAGGTTGAAAAAAAATTGTAATTGTGGAGAAGCCACGACTTTATTCAGCACAAAACTCTGATCGGTACAATATAAAAATGTCTCAGGCTCAGTTCTCAGAGCATTGTAAGATACATCGGTCAGCGAGATGTGAGTATTCCAAGCGACTCTTTTTTTGTGAAACAGATAGTTTCAGACGATTTTTTTCTTTACAAGTTCGATTGGGAATCAATTCTATTTCTGGCAAAGCTACTGATTAAGCCCCAATAGATTGTGCTTGCATAATTTTTGGCCGATTTGGAAAAATGAGGATGAGTTTTGCACTCTTCTAACTGTAGCACTGGTAGCACAATCAGCAAATTATATATATATATTTATTTTTAAGGGACCATTACCAGAATTATGATATGTTTGGTCCCTAACATTGATTATATTCAAGTTCGGTCTATTGCTCAGCCTATTTGCGATTTCGCGATGTCTTGAAGAAATGGGTGACCACAGGATTTGGTCGTTCGTTGGCACACCGAAATTGGTACACCGGGAGTAAACATTGCGTCAGTCCCAGTTTCCACCTTTACAGGCAGCAAAATAACCTCAAAGGGAAACATGATGAAAACATCATATATTTTGATACATTAATTTACCACTTCTATCCTGGAATTAAGTGCAGTAGTTAATTTTGTTTTTCAGAGCAAGTATGCAACTCAAAATAATAAAAGATATCTTTACTCAGCGTCAAAATTAGTTGACACATCATGTAGGAAGAGTATTATTAGTTTACGGTCAATTCGCTACCACAACAAACTCGCCACCACTCAAGGTGAAGTCGCCACCGGTGGCGATTTGACTTAAACGTTATGTGTACGGCCTCTGTGTGAAGCTTACATCAATAAACGTGTTCTTTCCGTAAGGGGCCAAAATTTGCCACTGCATAATTTATCTTTGTTTAGTAACAAAAACAAAACAAAACAAAACAAAAAACCATGTCAATACGTAATTTCTGATTGTTTCAACTGGGAAGACATGTCAAAAACTTGGGATTCATGCTTCGTTAATCACCATTTGTTTTTCGGTGATTGAAACCCCCGTGATATTACTTCTCGATTTTTGGGCTCTGCAGGACAGAGTCTTTAATAATCCAGAGAAAGAGCCTTTCACGATAATGGTTCGTTCTTACAACAATATTATTCGAATTATTAAACGAATGCAGCCGTCGGAGGAAACATCGCTGACAACTACTTATAATTCTAATAATTTCTAAGTTTGATCCGTTTGCTCTTCAGGGACTCCCAAAGTATGCCAAGTCACTTTCTGCCGAATTTCGCTGTATTTGCACGCACTCTTAATTTCGCATTATAAAACTAAGATATAAATATATTTCAGGATCTAACCTTTCGTATGATTGCTGCGCAGCGAGCGTAGCGAGCGAGCAGTATTTTAATCAGGATTGGAAAAGAACATAGGGGATGCGGGTTCTCGAACTCATCACTTTTTACCAGAATGCATCGCAGCTTTTAACCAGAGTGCATTGCGCCACGAAAGCTGTGTTTAGTGTATTGCGTTACATAGCGCTACTAATGTAAGGACATTTCCTATTTGTACACAATCGCGTTGTTGATCTACTTTCCTAAATAAAGGCAAATTAACTAATTGTGAACATTGCATGGTATATCTACTATCTCGATCACTGAATGAAGGACGGTTGAATTAGAGCAATGAAAGGGGTCACTTGACCAATGAATAACTCTACCTTGCGGAAGTTGACACGCCAGCAAGTCTGAAAGCGAAAGGCAGTTGACTGATGGTGTTCATAGGGCCTGTGCGACTCCTGCCATTCGCTAGTGCTTTTAAATCTTCTTCCCTCAAAAGTAAACTCTTATTAGGATATCTCTTAATGATTTTCCTTTGCGATGTAACAGTAAGGATTGGTTTTAAGATGTCATTGCCCCATCTGTAGTTGTTAATAGGCCTGTGTGACTCCTGCCATTCGCTAACGCTATTAAATCTTCTTCCCTTAAAGTTTAGCTCTTATTAGGTTATCTTGTAGGACTTTCCACTAAGTTTTAAGATATCATTCCCCATCGATTTGTATATTCTTGAAGTTTGGCAAAGCCCGATGAGATTGTGTTACAAAAGGCAACATTTTTCTCCTATGTGCGCGCTATTTTCTCTGGGTTTTGTATACTTTCTCCCCCGCATAAAATAAATTCAGAGATATGTTTCTCAATGTCTTAGAACACGCAGGTAGATGAATCACTGCGTAAATTATGTCACTATCAACAGATTGTGCCGCAACATTACTATCTTTTAAATATACTTGTACAAGTTTCATTAGGTTTGATTGCGAATCAAAACTCGTGTTAAAGCTCACGCCGACACTCTTTGTGCTTGAAACAAAAGGTTTACCACACATAGAAAGGAAGTCATATCGTCATATCGGTGGAAATCACTTAGCTTAAATCACTCGGCGAATATCACCCTGGTTTCGCTGTTCGCAAACCGATGATAATCTTCGTGATATCAACATGTTTTATTTCGTTCAACGTTCCATGATTGAGACGCTACACCTAACTTCTAAGTACCTTTCCCTTTTTGCAAGGCTACTACACCTTAGCTTTCATTTGATGTAAGTTTCACACGAGAGGCCACACATAACCTTTAAGTCAAATCGCCACCGGTGACGATTTCACTTTGAGTGGCGGCGAGTTTTGTGGTGGCGAGTTTGTCGTGGTGGCGAATTGACTGGATACTGTTCTATCGATGTAAAGAATAACATTCTTGTTTCTACCTCACAATAAATCAGCAGCAGCCCCCTTTCCTACATTCAATGTTAGCTAATAGTTCATGATATCACGATACAAGGCTGTTTAGGTGGGATAGGGCGAATAGGTAAACTTAACAAGGGCAAAAGTGATAAAATTGAAGTAACATGGGGTTGAAAAGGTCAATGTGTCAGCAATTTTTTCACTGACTGTTGCTTTTCTAACAATGAATATATAATTTGGACTTCTTTTGTGTTTCTCAGTTCTTGGAAAACAAACTATAAGAAAAGGAAGAATAATTTTCAGAAACGAGCATAACATGCTTTTTTTACTAGCACGATTTATAAGGGCCTACTAATGACGACTATGACGTAAGCATTAAAAGGCACCATAGCAAAAATGTTAAAAAGTAACTATATTAGGTCTTAGGGTAATTTTTTGTGTAACTCCGACAGTTTAATACCCAGATTACCCTTCCCATTTCAACTATGATGCCGGAGAGCTAGGCCTCTTTAGTTTAAAGGGTAACTGACGTCCAAAATTTCCCCTATTTTAGTTGTACCGATACATTCCTCTTGAGTTAAAGAATCCTAAACGAGCAAATAAACGATATTTTGTGCAAAACCAAACTTTCTACAAATTTTTTTGATGCTAAATTGACGGCCATTTTAAAAACGATCCGATCGAGGTCACGTGATGTGATACGTCACACGTGTGTAATGTAGTGAAAGGGTCACGGTAGACCTGAAAGTAACAACTTCGCGCCCTTCGCTGTCCAGCTGCTGCCGCAATTTACGAGCGAAAAAAAAAAGTTTCCTTCCATTCCGCCACAGGCCACCTCAGTTTGGAGACTATGAAATACGAAGTTGGAAATAATATACTTTCTCTAAAAAGATTGAATAATCGAAACGCGACGGGATCGTGAGTCTGTTTTCAGAGCTACAGGTAAGTTGCACGCCAGGCAAAACATTAAAAGAAATTACATGCAAGCATTGTTTCTCAGTTGTGAAGAAAAACATATATGATGAAATCAATCTTGTCTCGAAAAAAATATAGCACTTTCAGCTGAGTGAACAGTGAATTACTCATGCTCGTTTATCTCGGTGTGATATCTAAATAAGACAAGCCGAAAGCCTGAGAGCGGAAACCATTTAAGTTCATGTTAAGAGGCCTCCTGAAATCCCAAAGTATTAAACGCAGTGTCCTGTTAAAAAAAAAAAAGCAAACAAAAAAACAATCGAACCAGCGACACAGTCCTGCTACGTAAATAATAAGCACGTAATGTTTCTCGAATGACGACCTAAACTTTAAAAAACATATATAATTATCACGCTCAAGTTATCCAAACCTGTACCACTCTTTGCCGCATTGACATACAATATGGACTGAAAACAACAAGATCTAAAGCGAAAAAAACGAAAACCAGGGAAGCACTGTGTAGTGATGCTTTGTAACAAAAAAAATGCAGACGGAGTCAGCCTTCATCAGTTTCCAGCTGATGAAAGTGTGTGGCGACAGTGGATCGCATTCGTTCGAACAAAGAGCGAACCTAACAGTTGGACACCAGGTTCGGGTCACATTTGCAGCGACCATTTCTCGGCTGACAGCTACGAAGGATTCGGTGCAAAAATTGCTGGATTCAGCTCAGTTCTAACTTAGTACTAAACAAGTCCGCGGTTCCTTTTATTCAAGCGTCTCCTACTCCTGAGCAAGTAAACGAAGCACGAAGAATAAAAAGAAAATTCCCTTTGTCTAACGAACAATCGAAGTTAGAAGACTCGAGCACTGTGGTCACGCAAGAGACTTATAAGACACCAAAACGACAAAGCCGAGCCTTATCAAAACTAACGGCAAACAGGGTATGAGAAATATCTTTGGCGTTTTGGTTATCGTTGCTTTTATGGACCTGGTGTAACTTCATTTATTTAAAGTGGTGGCTTGCTTTGATCGCTAATGTAGTAACCAGCTATTTTTTTAAAACAGTTAGTTACGAAATTTGATCGCATCCGCGAAGAGAATGCATCAAATGCTGCATCATCTACAAGCACCTGGGAATCAGTCCTGGATGAACTCCCAGACACAAGAAATGCTGAAAATGAAGCTTCTCCTTCAGTTAAGGAACCGGTCGCAGAATTCCGATCGCCGTTGGCTGCAGCCTGGTATAGTAATGGCTATATATATTTAAATTGAATTACACCAGGCAGTAGAACGAAACATCTTTTTTTTATCCATTTCCTGCGTAAGGACAAATAATAGGGGTGTACGACAGAAACTTTCATCAGTACAAAGAAACATTTCTACAAAAGCATTAGGGTACTTTTATGCTGTTGATTAGTCTATGTCATGCATTGTACTGTGAAGCACTAGGTTTGCTATAATACAATTTCATAACTCATAGGCTCATACCCAGCAATAAAACCAGAAGAGTTGTTACTTAAACCTCAGTTGCTGAAGGATATAGCACAACTATCCCGCAAATACCAGACATCTACCCGGGAAGCCAAGCACAGCCTGGACATCCAGTTTGTGTCAAAGCATACTGCCTTCTCAAACTGGGGGATGTGTGCTAGGCGTAGTGTCGTCATACAGACACAAACTTGAGAGACTGTTACTCTTGCATGCAGGTATTTCCAGTATAGTAGGATTACTGCGTGTAGTACATTTCCTGAATTAAAGTACAAGGTGCTCACCTTACAACCCATACTAGGTTGTTGTCAATAATAGTTGCATCTTCAGTTGGCATTTTATTCTTTTCTCCACTTACTTGCGGGTTATGAACTAATTTCCTTTGCAGCTGTTGTTCGGTCTCCTCCCGCAACGGCTGTGAGGGAGACTGGTCATGAACTGTTTTCAGTGATAGTTTTAAAAAATTTAGCCCGCCGAGATAAGAATTGGTCCTTCAGGTAGAAGAGAGGTTCGGCGGGAGAAATGTATCGCTTGTCTGAATGCTGATCAAACACAGCCTTCAGCTGAGTTTCATCGTAATGTAACGTCATAGTTGAAATTTGTAAGAACATTTCTTTTCTTCAGGGCAATTAAAATGTTTCGACATATTTCAGACTTCTGTTACAGAACGGTTCTGACTGGTTCTAACTTGATGACGGTGTGACGGCTGCGTGACCGAATCACACTAAGTGTCATCTACATCCGAAGTGAATACTTCGTGACTCAAACGATTATACCCCACTATAGAAAACACGTCACTTTCTAAAATAGCCGTCGAATAAAACTATTACAAACCACTTCCAACTACAAAGCAGTATAACTACTTGACAATCTCCTTTCGAATGCAACACGAATGCAAAAAATTTGGAACTCTCTCCCTATTTCAGTCACTCGTTCGTCAAAGTTTCTCAGCTCGAAGACGAAATGCAAAAGTTTTCATTTAAATAATCACTGAATTGGCCAAGCCGCGCATCCACAAGTTAAACGCATGAATTTAATCAAAGGCACTGAAGCAGAACGTTTGGGTGTCTAGAATGACTTCTAGCGAATCAAGGACATCCTTTTTCAGCAATCGTTGTAAACTAAAAAATGCGGATTATAATTATACGACAGCCTCTTCCCCGACAGAAAGCAGCATTAAGTATGAATCATATTCATAGAAGGATACAAGTTAAATTAGACGAAAGGCGTCTTGAAAGTTTCGATTTCCGAATAGTGCTGAACGCGAAGCATTCGATAACTGCAGCGACGACTGATTACTTTGTTCGCTAATTCTGGCTTATCTCGAGAGAAGCTTAATCTATTTAAATGTTTTTTTTTTTTTGGATTAGCCATAGTTAAGGACTGATCTATTTTGTACCTAATACATTTGCGAATCTCACTTACACGGTTAACACAATCTTACTTTATCGGACAAAGACTTACCTGAGTAATGTATTACACAAAGGCAAATCAAGAAATGTGAAACGATATGTGGTCTCATCCCAGATAAGACAATATTCCGGCTGCCTGAAAAAGTTGGGAATTTCAGTATCTATATTGTTAGTCCCTTTGCCAAAATGTTTATTTCCTCCTTCGTGACAAAGCACAGTTTACGTGACGATAGTTACCCACAATTACCTTAGAACTCACTTTTGTTGACTCTTCCATTGTTGTATGGTGACAGGCATCCCAAGTTCACGTCTCGAGCAAAAGCGAAGGATTATTTCTTGAAAGCGTCACGCGTTGTGTAACGCGGTGTTAAGTTACGCAATCAACCGTTGAGAATTTGAATACGTTATAAGGAAAACAGGAAAACAGTAATGGCAAAGGAAGCCCAAAACGGCAGAAATCGCCAAAAAAAGACGACGAATACACAAGGAATGAGTAAGTTTTATTGATCTAAAGTGTAAAATATTCACATTTCGGAATGCATAGTGTTTGAACTGGACCATATTTTATTTCCTATACTATTCCTTATAATGCATTCAAATTCTCAACGGTTGCTCGCGTAACTTAACACCGCGTCAAACAACGCGTGACGCTTTCCAGAAATAATCCTTCGCTTTTGCTCGAGACGTGAACTTGGGATGCCTGTGGTATGGTTGGCGCTCGTTCTCACTATTTTACTGATTTGATTCCCTCTAGGGTACTCGTAAGAACACAATAAAGATTCAACATACATCTCTAGAGGAAAAACTTTGCATTTTAACAGCTGAGTGATAAAATATCATCACTTATTATCCAACTACACTTCGTAGAGTACAAATAACGCCATAGACGAGTACAAATATCACGCAATATTTGTACTCTAGAGTACCGGTTAAACAGGTTTTCTCGCATCGCGCAAGCGAAGAGTTGAATTGTAGTAACCAAAAAAAACGGCGGACAATTTGATTCATATTTCCGACGACAAAGAGTCAGAATGGCTGGCAAATATACAACCAAGTTTATTAGATAAATCCAACGAAGAAAAACAGCTAGACGACCTGGAAATTTCTTCATTTATTGAAGAAAATAGAAACAGCAACACGACAATGCACCAATTCCGTTCCGCCTTGCATACTTCTGTCACGCATTCCCCGTAAATGAATATCCGCGAAATTCGCCCGCACTGAAATAACAGTTTGGCGTGTTGGATAATAAATAACTTATTAGACGTTTTATTGTGTAGTATCGCTGAGTATTTTTACTCGTTATTTGTATTTTGACTCGCCCTACGGGCTCGTCAAAATACGGCACAACTCGTAAAAGTACTCAGCGATACTACACAACAAAACGTCTAATAAGATNGGTAGGCCACAGTGTAAGCCACAGGGTAGGCCACAGGGTAGGCCACAGGGTAGGCCACAGGGTAGGCCACAGGGTAGGCCACAGGGTAGGCCACAGGGTAGGTCACAGGGTAGGCCACAGGGTAGGCCACAGGGTAGGCCACAGGGTAGGTCACAGGGTAGGCCACAGGGTAGGCCACAGGGTAGGCCACAGGGTAGGCCACAGGGTAGGCCACAGGGTAGGCCACAGGGTAGGCCACAGGGTAGGCCACAGGGTAGGCCACAGGGTAGGCCACAGGGTAGGCCACAGTGTAGGCCACAGGGTAGGCCACAGTGTAGGCCACAGGGTAGGCCACATGGTAGGCCACATGGTAGGCCACAGGGTAGGCCACAGGGTAGGCCACAGGGTAGGCCACAGGGTAGGCCACAGGATAGGCCACAGGGTAGGCCACAGGGTAGGCCACAGGATAGGCCACAGCGTAGGCCACAGGGTAGGCCACAGGGTAGGCCACAGGGTAGGCCACAGGGTAGGCCCGGCCATGGCCCAGGCCAGGTTTTGTCCACACCCACTTGAAAATCGCTAAAGAAAAAGTATTGCAACAATCACCCCCTAGTCCTCAAATTCAAGTACTGTCAAGGCATCGAATTTTTATTTTTAAACTCAAGCATTTTCAAAGACTTAAGAGCTTTACGAACCCTGAGTAGGTAATATATTTGCCTTTAACTGCAAGGAAAAGGGAATTGTTTATCTATTATAGGTACAGAGTCATAGTTTGTTGCCAAATGTTCACCCTCGAGGAGTTGTCAGAAATCAGTAGATTGAAGCAATATTACTGTTCAATAATTCATATTGGTTTTAGGAAAATCTCTGAATATTGAATATTGCTGATGGCTTCAACATGAGAAGCAGTGCTCTTTACAGTTTTAGTATGTTAAATGAGAGGCATTTGACTTTCATTAAATACCAAGAGGGAATAAATACAAAAAAAAAAAACAGAAAAACACATTGTTCCGACGAACGCCTGTTGATTGGCGTGGCGCTGTCCGTCGGGAAGGCCGAACAATGCCGCACGCTTTTACTTTTTGATTTACTAATATATTCAGATAGGTCGTGATAGAAAGAGGGTCATTTTTATTTTTTTGTTAAGCGCTCGCAGATGTCGGACTTATGAGTTTTTCTGTCGTTGTGGATTCGCTTTTTTTCGTTTAAAACACAATTTCGTCTCGTCGAAACACACATAAAAAACCCTGTGCATTCACTATTATTTCCCACAAGATTTTCGAGAATTGATTTGCTGTCAACTGAATCAGACAATATTCCTTCACTGTAATCACTTTTACAATCTAAACTTATTTCAGTTCCACAAACATCAACAGTTTTTGGCAAATCACCTTACAGTAAATACTTGTTTAAAGATGAATTTTCTTATAATCTTTTGCAATACTGAATAACATTAGATAAGGGATTTGAATTCCAATAACTACATGATTTTATTATGGGGTAGCAGAGTGACTAGACAGCCACAGCACAACTCACATTGAACTTTCTGGTTGCACTGGCATTGACAAAATTGTGGCAATTTTCAGATATACGTGATTGAAAGGCTCTATCCATGGATGTACAGTACAAGGCCTTGGTCAGGAGATTAAATTGCCTGAACAAAATAAACAGCCATATCTCCATTAATATACAGCCGATCGCACTGAAACTTTCAGGGACCATAGATTTCCATACGAACTTTTACCTTATGGCAACAATGCCGACGACGATGGTCACGTGTCGGGTTACGTGATGAAAACGCTACTCAATCGGTTTTTATCGGAATTGGTAATATTTACACACACTCGTTACTGATCAATGAGTGGGAAAAATACTCATTAAAAAATGCCAGCGATCTACGTTTGGAATGAATTTCCCTCGTTCCTTAAAAGGAACTTTTCTCAACTTAATGGTCTTTACATTGTTATCAACTCAACTCGGCACTTCATTCCAAACGTGAAGATAAAGTTTATCAACACCTTCTTCCATTTCGCTAAAAATAACTGCTTGAAATGGAAACTTCGGCACGGGCGATAGCATTCGGACTACCCCTTTTTGAACTACGAAAGAAGCAGCCATTTTGTTTCTTTTCGAATATAATACATGAAGGAGACTTCACTACCACATTATACCGCTGACTAAGAAGGCGCATATCAGATATGGTGTACAGTCGCCTAAAGGAACAGAGCTTACTAACGAAATGCTACGTCAAAGGGTACGCGGTCAACAACGTGGGCTCAAGTGTCCTAGGTCTAAATTTGAGCAAAATTAGCAGAAAATAATAAAGCCTGACTTTTAAAAGGAAGAACTCTGTTTTCGTCGAAGGCATTTTCCTATTTCCAAGTTTTAAGGAGAAAATTAAATTTTGAACATTTTTTGGGGGCGTACCAAGTTTTTGGAGGTTGTCCTGTACAAGAAAAGCGGCAAAGAAAACGACGCCTCGAAGCAACAGAATAGGAAATCAACCATGCGAACGACCCAAAATCCGTTTTTCTGCGGCAAAACCTGGCGCATACGTATACGTTATTCAGCTCTGTCGCCTAAATGTCGATCAGTGGACAATATCTCTGATGGGAAAGTAAAACTGCTGGCTTTACAAGCCAAAAATCGAGCGAATTATCATTTACTGTTCTAGTAAAGTATGTTTTCAACTCTTGTAATTGTAAGGATACAGAAATACTTCAATAATATTACTTCAAATTGTTTGTTGTTTTTTCGTAATTTCCACGTCCGTGACCGAAAGGAAATAAAAGATGCTAAAATAAATTAAGAGATGTACTGTGGGACTCACTACATGGGTTGTTGTTTCCCATGAAGTCAAATATAAGACAGCTTTAACGTTTCTCTTTACACGACGATGAAATCAACCCACAATATGTAACAAAATTGAGCCGCAGGAGGAGAGAGGTGGAAGGGAGAAATAACTGTTAGTATTAGTGCTCCATATCTTTAAAAATTATAACCCCGCCCATAGGTCTTAAGAAAAATCTGCTGGTAAGAAATAAACAGGGCTTCAACTTGCCTGGCAGCAAGAAAAGGGTGAAAAACAAGGTTATTCAAAATTCTCCCCTCCCACCCCATCTTGATGGAGAGATAATATGCATGTGCACTTTGCACTGATTTCCCGCCGGCTCAGTTGGTGGCGTCTGTCCAATAGCAAAGCGCACTATTACTAAAAATAGTTTGTCAGCGTGAGATCCCATGACACCCCCCCCCCGCACAGAGTCAGACAAATACTGCGACCAAAACAAAGCAAATGTATGAGCGGGAGCCACGGTTGTGATCCTTAAAGCGAAGATTTTGGTCAATTCTTCGGATTATCGTTCTAGAAAAAAGAGAAATGGTAGGCACCAGACACTGCTGTTGGGGTGAGTGCAAAACAGACTCAAGATATCCAGAAAAGTGGCTGGAATCACTAAAAGAGTTGGAGAAATCGGGGCAGAAAGTATTCATATCTTTCCCGAAACCGGCGAAAGACCTCGCAAAGTGAAAGCGTTGGTTAGTGGCATGCTCACGGGAATTCTTTACGGAGAAAAACGTTAAAAAAAACACGTACATTTGTGCTCTTCACTGGCCCGGAGGAAAAGGTCCCACAGAAGAGTTTCCAGACCCGCTCAAAGCAAATCTCACACCGAAACAAGCAGTACGAGCGTCCGCTCCAAAGAGAAAGGCCCCGAAATCGAGAGAGGAGCCGGTGACAAACAAAACAAGGTAATTAAAGAGAAATATGGC